AGGCCAGGAAAGGGTGTTTCTGTCTGGGGGTCCACACAGGGGCTGATGGGCCATAGCATCCTTCCCAATGGTAGCCCTGGCAGCATCTATCACTTGATGAATGTCAGAGGGTGATCCTTCATCGGGGCCTAGCCCCTGCTACTTACCAACTCTCTCTTTTTTAATGGATAAGGTGGGGGGGGCACGGCGGACAAGGCCATTTTCCTCAACCAGGACCAACCAGCCCCAGGTGTCAGGTGTTGGACAGGCAGAGACACTTCTGGATCAGCTGTGTGACCAGGTTTCCCACGGGCAACTAGATCATCCAACTAATCCCTAAATAAAAGGAGGATTGAAGTCACTGGCCATCAGCTGAATTCAATTGCACAGTTGATCTTGGCAGAAAGCAGCTTTGCCAGCCCTATGCTTTGCACTTTGCTGAGCTGGCCAAACCCCATCAGCAGCCAAACTGTCCAGAAAGCCGCTTTGAAATCACTGCCCATCAGCTGATGAGTGGCAAGTTCCACTCTGCTGGACCAGCTGTACATCAGAATTCTCTGTGAGCAGTTCAATAGGGCAGCTGATCTCTGCAGAAGGCAGCTTTGACGTCTCTACACTCGACACGTTGCCTAGCGTAGGTCCTGCAAATCATCATTATTAATTAATTTTCTATACCATGCTTCATCCATGGATTTACAATATAAAAACACACAAATACCTAACATAGACCCTGTTCCCCCGTACACAATTTAAAAGGCCATCAATTGTTTAATTAGCCAAATGCCTGGGAGAAGAGGAATCTTTTTGCCTGGCACAAAAAAGATACGTAATGAAGGCTCCCTGGGGATAGCATTCCTCAAGCAGGGAGCCACCACAGAAAAGGCCCCTTCTCATGTGGAGGAGGCACACAAAGAAGGACCTCCGATGATGATTGCAGGATCCTGGTTGGTTCATATGGGGTGAGGTGGTCCTTGAGGTATTGTGGCCTGAACCTTTAAGGTTTTATAAATCAAAACCAGCACTTTGAAGTGGCATGCTGAAGTAGCTCGACCGAATATGTGGCGCAGTGGATTATATGCTCCAACCATCTTGCCCCACCCTCGGGAAATGACCATCCGCATAAGAATGGAAGCACTGGAAAGTGATCCCACCACCCCTTAACTCGACAGCCACTCTAGAAGGATACCGTTGTTGATGGTATCGAGAAACGCTGAGGAGAATTAACAAGGTCACATCCCCCCCTCTCTCCCCGACAGAGGTCAACATACAGGGCAACCAAAGCAGTTTCTGTGGGAAAAGTGAGCCTAAACCCCAGTTGCAGTGGGCTCTAGAAAGCAAGTTTCCTCCAAGAGCGCCTGGATCTGGTCCACAACTACCTGCTTAAGAGCCTTGCCCAAGAAGGGGAGGTTGGCAACTGGCTCCAAGGTGGAAACTCACCAGTCTGAACCAGTACTTTTTTTTCTGGGGGGAGGCAGGGGTACGCATATCCCTAAACATTTTGTGAATCTAGGTTTGGCTTCATTGAGGGGCAGTATTTCAATATAAGTAGGAAAATTAGAGTCCCTCCATACATTTTTTTTTAAAGGAAAAAAGCACTGGTCTGAAAAATTATTCAGAAGAGCATGCAGATTCCAACTCATCAGTTGAATGTTTTCGAATTCTCAAGGTGGCAGATCCTATCCACCTCTACTTCATCCGTGTTGGGTAATGCTGGTTAAATATAGGCCTTTTGTTTTAAAGATGTGTATAGATTTTGAGCACTGTAACGTCAGAGAGTAAAACAAATTATAGCCTTAGTGCTGTAATGTTGCCTGCAACAAAATCCAAATCATCACCACTGCCCAATAGACCTGATCAACATATGTTCTTGTGTATGTGCTTTTCACAGAATTATGGCCAAATACACTGGCTGCCACACAATGCCAATCAATATTAAGGCCCTAAAATAAACCAGTTCCCAGAAAAAGGACTTTGCAAACAGCTTGAATATATATATGTATAGTGGGGGTGGTTCTCCAAATTCTACAGTTCAAAGAAAGATATTTCTACTGACAGTTCTGCTAGCTTGAAGAAAGAACCGCAAAAAAAGTTTTGGCAGCAGTTGAATCATTTGGCTTACCTTAAACATACCAGCCAGTGTTGGCAGCTGAGGACCATGGAGCAACTCAGCGGTCAAGCTAATTCACAGAGGTGATGTTATTTCTATTGTTACATAATAATAATAATAGAGAACCAGTGAAAAGAAGTTGAAATGAGCCACAGCTCAATTTTAAGCCAGCAGGCAAACACACCAAAGAAATTGCAACAACAAAAAGCAACCACATAGTGCCTCTTCCTAAGCATATTCACTCAGAAGTAGATATGACGAGAATTCCCCTGTCCTTTTCGTCCTTCGCTCCGTTAGTGGTGTAAAAAGTAAAGGTAAAGGGCCCCTGACCATTAGGTCCAGTCATGACCGACTCTGGGGTTGTGGCACTCATCTCACTTTATTGGCCAAGGGAGCCGGCTTCCGTGTCATGTGGCCAGCATGACTAAGCCGCTTCTGGCGAACCAGAGCAGCACATGGAAACGCCATTTAACTTCCCGCTGGAGGGGTACCTATTTATCTACTTGCACTTTGACGTGCTTTCAAACTGCTATGTTGGCAGGAGCAGGGACTGAGCAACAGGAGCTCACCCCGTCACGGGGATTCAAACCACCGACCTTCTGATCGGTAAGTCCTAGGCTCTGTGGTTTTAACACACAGTGCCACTTGCGTCCCCCATTAGTGGTGTAGTAGAAGGGAAGATTAATGGGGTGGGGGTGTTAGCTCCAAGACATTCCCAAGTCCTACCAGGGGATGCCAGGAATTGAACATGGGGCCTTTTGCATGCAAAACAGATGCTCTGTCACTACGCTAAGGCCCTTCCCCTATTGTTCCCATGAACTTTATGGAAGCTCTTTCATTGAGGGGAAAACGTCCAAGATTCTCAATAAAAACTGATTAGGGCATTATTTTTTTCCTGCTGCAGCACACCTAAGTTTTTACAGCCCCAAGCAACTCTCTTAGTGAAATAGAGTTAAATTCAGGAACCCCCCTTCATTCTTTCTACTCACTTGCAAGAGATGGGCAGCCGATCTGAATCTATGTGCCTCCTTTGCCTAACAGCTGTGCCACTAATGTGATGCTCTCCTCCTGCCTTTATTCCGAAGCGAGTTTCATCTTAATTAGGCCAGTAATCCTTAAGGAAAGGCTACAAAGTAAGTCCGTAGTATTCCCACGACGACAGATGCTGAAGTAGCTCAACCAAATGTGTGGTGCAGTGGAAGTGGAAAAACAGGAACATTCCAGTTCGTAAGTCACACGCTGAACCAATATGCTACTCTGGCAAACCCAATCAACACATGGACTGGCATGGAAGAATGTTATAGGATGACAGGGGTGCCAACTTGAATAAAATACTGGGGATGGGGCAGGTAAGCCTTGCCCCACATAATGGATCACAAGACGTGGCGGATACCATTTGCATGGCAATGCCCATTAACTGGGGGGGGGGTGGTGGCTGGCCCCCTCAAATATATTTGGGGGGGCAAAGGGACCTCAGTCCCTAGGAGTTTGCTCCTATGTAGGCTGATGTCTTTTCCATCAACCCCAGCCAGCATAGTAAATGATCAGAGGTGATGTAGTCAAATCTCTATAGGCTTCCCCACACCTGCTGTAAAGAGATATACAACAAAGCTAAGAAACATAAAGCAGATGTTATTGCAGATTTGACCACACACACACACACACACACACACACGTACGTGTCTTGTAGCCCAGTAAACCTGGTATTTGGTTAGTGATTTGATGTCTGCTTCTGCCAAAATCTAACTCTTAAATATTCCCATATGCTGCTGTTTACAACCTGTTGATAAGCTGTGTCCCTAGAGAGTCCCCTAGCTATGAAAAACAGCATTATTACTTGCATGAAGAGGAATATTAATGCACATTGTTGTTGTTACTATTCAGTGGCCCACAGCAGTTTAATAAATGCTTTCTCCTTTATAGAAATTGATAACAGGTACCACATTATATTGAAACAAGCACTGCTATAAGAAAAAGTGCTGCCTTCTTGATACAAACAGGAATACAATTGCAGTATGCAATGACCCAAGAAAGTGAATTATTTCAAGCATCGCTCAATGTGAGCAGTAGCCCTCAACGTACATAAAAGCACAGACAGATGTCCATCTCTAATGGCAGCATTAATATCCAGAGGTCCAAATTCAAGGCAAACTTTATTTTTCACAGATCCAATCATTATTTTGTTTCCTTTCTTTGGTTCAGTTGTTCGCTCTGCGTGAAATGCATTGTGCTGGAGCTGAGAAAAAGAATCTGCTTTGTGAGGGCAATTTTGCCAAGAGAAAGTGAGGTCTATTCCTCACTAGTCACTTTCTTCCTTGAATTCCAGATAAATGTGGATGGATTCACCAAAGCTCAGCTTCACCTCCTGTATGAATTCTTCACATGGCGATTGAATAGATGAAGATGGCAGAGCTCAAAATCATTGCCCACAGAAGTTTTAATATGAGGATGGATAATTTTTTTAAATATATTGAGTCTCAGATTTTATATATGCTGCTGAAAAGAGTTATCTCCTAAGAAGTAGAGTTTCCTAGGGAGCATAAAGTAATGCTTGGAATATCCTTCTTGAAATTCTATTACTGAGCGGGATCCTGGGATCTCACACACCCTGGAGTGTCAGCAATGCCGTTTTGATGGTGGAATGACAACCCCTTGGAATCCAGCTGGCATTGTCACCTTCCTTTTCTTCTAGGCATTTGAATAATCTGGGAACACGGATCTGTGCAATGGTATGGGGACAATGGATTGATTCTGTACTGTTCCAAGTATTGTTGTTTAAATGCCATTTATGTAATTTTAAATGCTGCACACACACACACACACACACACACACACACACACACCCCTTTGAGATCATCCATGATGAAGGGTGGAAAAAAAGTAAGCTACTAGAAAGAGATTCCACAAGCCCATGCATTAGTGTACAATATTTATTACTTTCCCATAATTTGTGGTCAATTCCTTTGACAAGACAGATTTCATTCTGAAATGAACTTACATTTGCAAGGAAATAAAAAGGCAATGAGCTTAAACATTACAGTAATATTTTGCTGATGCACACTCTTAAAGGACATGCACAATTCATAATCTGAAGACTCTGAACAAAGTTCTCTTTATATGGGTTCATAACCGCCTTCTGAGCAAAGAAGGGTGAACTACTGAATTAGCAGCCCTTTTACAAAAAGACAAAAAAAAAACCCCACAAAAAACCACCAACTAAATATATTAATATCTCAGCTTGTTTCCTTCTAATTTTGATTAGCCATATAGTACACAATTAAGGAAAATATACAGCCAAAATGGTACAACGGTGCCTTCCTGACAACAGAAGAAACAGAAAAGACAGTATAAAAATTGCATTTGAAAAGCCCACCGCACTGATTCAAAGTGCCTTCAAAGTCAATAGGAATACGGCACACATTTTCCCCATTTAACCAAACTCCATCAGTAGTCCGTTAGAGATACCCTCGTTCTCTTCATTGGTTAAAAAAACAAAACAAAAACCCCGCAAGCTCTCTCCTATTATCTTTTAGGCCTATCAATGTCGTCAATAGCTGCTAACAGTTTTTGTCGTGCTTTTTTGTTGATGTGGGTCCCCAGACAAACATTCACCAGATTAGTCAACTGCTTGGCAGAATACTCCTGGGCAAAGAAAGCAAATCACATTTTAGTTTCAAGCAAGCGGAATGACACTGCCCAGAAAATAAGAAACGTATTGCTAAAAGAAAAAGAAAAGGAAGAAAATACACCAAGGCAGAACCTGTCACTTTCTGGAGAAATATTCAAAGCCACACATGTGGCTATTATTTGTGGTTGTGAAGCTTAGAAGGGTGTTTTGCAACAAGTACGGCAGATTATCACGGGGAAATGCTTACAGTTTTAGTCAAGCGTTGGATGGGATGCAGTTCTGTGAATATTTAAACATCTTAAGGCACTTAAAATTTATTTTCCATTCTTCGGGGAAAAATATGTGAAACTGGCTAAGACTGAAAACAACCATGAAAGCAGATACTAAGAAAACAACACTGTTTCGGCAAATCTGTTTTTAGTGCTTCTGCTCACAGTTCCAATTTAGCTTTACCTAAAAGGATTTGAGGGGGGGAATTCAGCAATATTGTACCTGATCAAAAGATGAACACATTTCTTAAATAGTGTTTTAAGAAGGATAATTGTTAACTCTTACAAAAACACAGAAATGTGCCAGGGCACAGCTGCCTGTTTAAACAGAGCTCTCTCTTGCTTTAGACACTGCCAGAACATTTGAGTGATTATTTAACAGAGGTAAAGCTTTTAACATTTCTCTTGGGTAAGGGAGAAGGGTGGAAATGCTCTCAAAGTGGGTTTACGCTCATCCAAGAAAAGTAAATGTCTAGCCAGATTGAGAGCAATCCAGGATTACTGACTCAGTGCAACATTTGCAAGTTTTTAAAAATAATAATAATAAAAATGCAACCATGCACCGTTCCAACCAATGTATGGTGAGAATAACTAGGATTCTAACTTCACTGTTTAGAAGCTGCAATAGTCTCAGAATGAGGAGTGTACAAAAATAGCACTTTTTAAAAAGGCTCACATTTAGCAGAGTTATGTAAGTTCCAATGCAGACTATTTGGATGGATAAAGAGGCTGAAACAAGATTTGTGGAAGAAGTCGCTGAGAGTTAGGTAGGGAGTTATTATCCAATGTTAAAAGAAAATAATCTGCCAATACATTTTTCCCCCCTTTTGCTCTGGATGATTAATTGGTGACCTTTGGTGGGTTTGCGCACTGTGTGCCTCAGATGTCTCGTTGAGTGAGAAAAGTTAAGCACAGCTCTGACACATCCAATTCACTTTGTTTCCAGGTTTCCTTTGGTGCAAGCATATGGACTCCTTCCCAGCCTATTACCACCCAGAATCTCTTACGAGCTCACAGCTATTGTGCTACAATTATAGTGCATCATCAATAGAGCATAACATGATTGGGACTCATTTAAGTCTACTTAGGCCAGCCTTGGACAACCTAGCATATAGATATGGAAGCGATTGTTCCAGTTTTTGAACATTCTTTCAGAAGCTGGACGTCCGACAGGGCTTCCGCAGCTTCCGATTGGCTGCAGGAGCTTCCTGCAGCCAATCAGAAGCCGTGGTTTGGAAGTCAAACATTTAGGAAGTCGAACAGACTTCCAGAAAAGATTCTGTTCAACTTCCAAGGTAGGACTGCATTAGAGCACCCAAAGAACTTAACAGCCGTGGCATCATGGATATTGTTTAGATCTGATAAATCCTAAACATACAAGTAACAGAAGAGAGATTGCTTTTTATGGAAGGTACTTGGAGAACGTTTTAGTCCCTTAATTTATTCAGTACTGCATTTACATACCACCCATGTAATTAAGTTCCCAGGGCAGTTTATGAATCTACAGGCTTACAGTGATCTATTCTAACTTTCATGATTTTAAAATAAATTGATTTAATAGTTTAATATCTATAAGCTTTCATGTGTATAGTAAAACAAGGTATAAAAATAGTTATAGGATAAATAACCAGAAAATGAGAAAGCAGTTGTTTTTCTGACTGATGTATTATTCTCATTGCTTTCTTATACAACAACGCCAAAGTTATGGGTCAATTCCTTAATGATGCAACCAACCGCAGAAATAATCAAGAACTGTTCCTAATGGGCCTTCTAAACTTAGTATATTAAGCAGAAAGGAAGCAGTACAGGGAACAGACTGTTACAGAATGGAAAAGCACCAATCAAAAAGAAAGGGAAAAACACAGAAGCCAGGATAGGGGGTGGGGGGAGAGACACGCACCTCCATTATGCTAGGAAAATAGCTTCTTGAAATGAGCCCAACCCATTTCAGTTGTCAGACCCTTCTTTAGGGACTCATATCAGCCTGGGAGCCTATACTCTTCCGTAAAAGATTTAAACCCTATTTGGAAATCTTCCCTCTCATGTGATTACAAACACTGCCAAGAAAGTGCTGGGAAGTCGTCGTCCCCCCCAGCACATTTTTTCTAAACCAGGGATCCCCATATGATTTCCAACATTTGCTGTGACAAAAAGTAGAGGCTCCTAACTCCAATCAAATGCCCTTCAGCTCTCAATATGGGGCCTGTAATGCGCCGGAAGAGGGTGGGGCTTGCCAGTGTGCCCCCCTATTCTCCCTCATGTGATTGTAATGACATGAGGGAAATAAGCCAAGGGCTCCATTCAGCTGCAATATTCCCTCTCTCACGGGCCTTTTTATCATGGGGCAAGTGACTTCAGAGCAAGTGGATGGGGAGGAGAGCAAGTTTATCGCTTTCCTTGCCAGCCACCTGTGCTTAAATTACATGGCCTCCACTGTTGCCTCAAGGATATTCCCCACAATTCCTACCCAATGAGAGGAACTAAAAATCCATGTCTTACCCGGTGCTCCTTGATCCAGCGTTCCATGTCATTTTCAGTCAAATAATAAGCCTTGATGTAGGTTTCAACAAATTCCTTATCCGGAATAGGTCTAATATCCGTGAGTTTCTCCAGCTTCATTAAAAATTGCTGAAAGTCCAGTTGCATCAAGGCACGCCCCTCGTTGCTACACTTTTTGACATTTGCGTAACTAAGACAGACAAGCAACAGATAAGTGTGCAGTCGTGGTTGCGCGGTAACTACTCTGACGTCCTCATCTTTGTGGGCAAATTGCCGCAGAACGCAGTAAAGATATCAAGCTGCTATTGGAGACTGATGTATTTACAGAGGACTAAAGGGACAACTCTCACGTCACTTGTAAATACTCTTTTCTTGCCTTTCAAGATGGCAATTGGTTTGGAAATTGAATGGTCTGAATTTGAATCTAGGGAACAAGTATGGGGTGCACCTAAACAGCCAAAGGTGATATTAATACTTCTGTAGTGATAAATTAGAGGGACGCGGGTGGCGCTGTGGGTTAAACCACAGAGCCTAGGGCTTGCTGATCAGAAGGTTGGTGGTTCGAATCCCCACGACGGGGTGAGCTCCCGTTGCTCAGTCCCTGCTCCTGCCAACATAGCAGTACAAAAGCACATCAAAGTGCAAGTAGATAAATAGGTACCGCTTCGGCGGGAAGGTAAACGGCGTTTCCGTGCGCTGCTCTGGTTCGCCAGAAGTGGCTTAGTCATGCTGGCCACATGACCCAGAAGCTGTACACCGGCTCCCTTGGCCAATAAAGTGAGATGAGTGCCGCAACCCCAGAGTTGGCCACGACTGGACCTAATGGTCAGGGGTCCCTTTACCTTTACCTTTAGTGATAAATTCTCTTGGTTAAATTGATGTTGGAAGGGCTGTAGCTTAGTGGGAGAGCATCTGCCTTGGTTGCAGACTTTCCCAAGTGAACCCCTGGCATCCCCAGGTAGGGCTGGGAATGGTGCTGTCAGAAACCCTGGAGAGCCACTGATGGACTGAGCTAAATGGACCAATTGTTTGATTACTATGTTCCTAAGAACCTTGAGGTGCCGTAGCAGCGGTTCTGCCCAGTAACAAAGTGAGCAAGGAAAAGTTTCCCCTAATAAATAATATTGTTACACATGCACAGTGGCTCTGTGCTTAAGCTCAGTTCAAGGATTCGATTCCTCATGAATCCTATGCAAGGCAGCTCATGGACACATGTGGTGTGATCACTGCAGAACTTGAGATATAACCTGGAGACGATCTTCCTGAGGAATGCGGACCCTTGGCCCTCCAGATGTTGTTGGACTTCAACTCCCTTCATCCTTGACCACTGGCTATGCTGGCTGGATGTGATGAGAGTTAGAGATCCACAACATATAGGAGGCCTGAAGATTCCCCATCCTTGATCCAACTCAAGGCTAAAGCAGGGTCCACACAGTCCAAGCTTCTCTGATTAATTAGCTGACATAATCCAAATTTTAAGGTTTTACAAGAAAAGAGCAGGGTTGAACCATGTGCTACAAGGCAGGGAGAGGGACCCACAAAAAATTAGAAAAGGTGTCATAATCCACTTACCCTTCTACAATAGTTCTGTTAGCTAGTCGTATACAATGCTCCCAAAGAATATTTGACACTGGCAATGGAATACGAACTCTCTTAGAAACCTCATTCAGCTGTCTGTTAAACTGTTCAAATTCCTAATAAAACATAAAGGGAATATTAGTCAGTGGTGGCAATACATACAAAACATACCTATCTAGACATGAAAGCTCATTTATATAGAGGGAGGAAAGGGAGGCACAAATCACAATGATACAAAATGGAGAGAAAATGGATTATACTTCATCGCATTTATGGTTATTATGAGGGTTGCCACTAAACTCCCCTATCATCTAAAATTCTATAGCTGAATTAGATGTGCTTTTGGAACACGGGGAATGTTCATAGAATGTTCATATGGCATGAATTGTGTTCACGCTGCTACTTTATCCTTGGTCAGCCCATTGGTCCAGCTAGGTCTGCTCTGATTGGCATAAGGCTTTGCAGGGTCTCAGGTAGGAGGTGGGTCTTTCATGTCACCTGATACTTTAACTGGTGATGCCAAGGATTGAATCTGGAGCTTTCTGCATGGAGGCTTACCTAACTCAACCTAGGCTAGTATGTGCTGATGCTTCTAGTGCACTCCAGGGCATGCCACCACTTTTCATATTGTAGCTTCCATAGTTTTGGAGCAATTAAATAGTCCAGCTGGGTGTGTGGCAAGAACCTGGTTTACACTGTACTACCCTGCACATATGTGGGAGTATCCTAGACCATACAGCTCATGGGATCTACAGCTCCAGTGATACTTCACAAGCATGGATATGGAGTATCCAATCCAGTAAATTCAACTTATTACTGAATCAGAATTGGCAAGATTTGTCCATCCCTAAAGAATACAAATATAAACTCATAAAATACACTACATGCAACACACACTAAACACATTTTTATTATAGTCGGCCTGCGGGAAGTGTGACTTACTAAGGAAAAAGTTAGTCTCAATTAAGGATTAAAACTGGGAAGAATTAGTACGGAATAGTAGCCTACAAATGGAATTCATAAAAATATATAATTTGGTGATTGGATAAAATTAATTCACATACAGTGGTGCCCCGCAAGACGAACGCCTCGCAAGACGGAAAACCCGCTAGACGAAAGGGTTTTCCGTTTTGGAGGCGCTTCGCAAAACGAATTTCCCTATGGGCTTCCTTCGCAAGACGAAAGCCCATAGGGAAATCTCCGGGACAGCGGGGAAGCGCAGCGCGTCTTCCCCACTGTCCTCGGACCTCCTCCGAAGGCTGGCGGTGGGGCGGAGAGACATTCTCCCCACGCCAGCCTTCGGATAGCTGTCCTGAAGACTTGCGGTGGGAGGAGGGTTTTCCTTCCCACCGCCAACATTCAGAATGCTGTTCTGAATGTTGGCGGTGGGGAGGAAAAACCCTCCTCCCACCGCAAGCCCCGGGAACAGAGGAGAAGCGCTGCGCCCCTTCCCCTCTATTCCCGTACCTGTCCTGAAGGCTTGCGGTGGGGAGAAAAGCCCTTCTCCGCACCGCCAGCCTGGCAAGCGGTTTCCATAGGAACGCATTAATTGATTTTCAATGCATTCCTATGGGAAACCATGCTTCGCAAGACGAAAAACTCGCAAGAAGAAAAAACTTGCGGAACGAATTAATTTCGTCTTGCGAGGCACCACTGTATCCCCAAGTCTGTTATTCTTGTCCAGGAAATGTAAGGACAACAGAAGACAAAGGCTACCATCCTAGGCACACTCACTTGGCAGTAAAGTGGGACTTACTTCTGCTTATGATTGTACCAGTGAAGGACTAACGCTTACAGGTAAGTCTGGGAACACTGATAGTCTTTAACAGATAGACATAAAACTCATAATGGAAACGAAAAGAGGGAAGGTAATTGCAGACGATTACTCCTCAAGGTCAATCTGACCAGATTCTGGCACCATCAACAATTAATTAAATTAAGCTTGGCTTTCCTTCTATATTTGTGGTCTCTTGTGACAGGCTTTTCATATTTCCAGCTAAGAGAGTCCCATAATGCTCTTTGTTAATGATATATCCCAACTCACGACCCGAATTGAACTCCAGCAGGTCTCCTACTCTCACTGCTGGCATGCTACCCACAAGTCTTCAGCTTTAATAATGGGAAAACAAATATTTTTAGCTCTAGCAACGCCAACAAAAAATTGGTTAGAGCAAAACATCCAGCTGAGAATGTGTTGCACGGGATATATAAGAAGGCACCAACAGAAATGATTTCTGTCTTTGTTAGGTCATTAAAATGCAATGCAAGAAAAGAGATACTCACCTTTAAAAGAGAATCTACATAAATGTTGTGTTGTGACATGATTTCTTTCACATCCCATTTCACATTTGCCATTAGCAGCAGCATCTGTTCGTAATCAATTGCTTTAGCAGCTACAATCCAGTATATAGGCTTACGGAGTTCACTGGCTGTTGAAACCGTCTGGAACGCAAGGAGAATCTGGTGTAATTAACAGCGTTTTCTTCCTATGGTACAGGAAAACTTCAGATGAACTGCACGACACATCACTGTGTCATGCAGGCGATATAGCCATTCAGGAGAAATCAATGAATTCCACCCTTAACAAATAAAAACAGTGGATGTGTGCAGAATCCTGACCTGCGAATAGAACTGCTGAAGAAAAGGTTTCTTGGCTGGAGGCATTACAGCATCAAGATGAGACTGGAGGAACTCAAACTGCTCAGCTAAAAACACTCTGAGAAACAAAAGAGAAAAATCCATTGTGACCAAAGTACAAATATTAGAAAAAGTTGTATTGCCTCCGGAAGATAATACAAGAGCCTTTTGGACCAGATCCCTGTCTACGTCGTATCCTGCAGATGCAACTCCCAATATTTTTTGTGATGACTTCTAGCTTTAACGGCTTTAAAAGGGAATTAGTCAAATTCATGAAGCATATGCCGACCAGTGGCTATTAGTCATGATGGCCATATGAACACCCCCCACCCAGCTTCAGTGATAATATGCTTCCAAATAGTAATTGCTAGGGAACAACAGCAAGAGAGGCCTTCTGCGTCCTGCACGCGGCTATCTCTTAAGGACCTGGTTTGCCCCTGACGCAAAGAGGATGCTAGACTAGGGAGGCCTAGGCTAGGGAGCTCATTTTTTTTAGCTCTTGCTCACTAATTTTACGAACCACATATCTCTGTAAGAAATCTCCCAATGGCGCCAACGCTTTGTCTCTGTTACAAAGTGTTAACAAATTATTTCTGAATTAAAATGCTCTGTTTGCTATGAGCACGAACACAGACAAAAATGTAAACAACAGAACATGGTGAAACAAAGCAGTTGGCAACGCAACCAGGCAACTGAATATAGCTGGAGAAGTTCAGGCGAGTATGTTGTCTGATATGGAGTGGCTCTCAGGAGGCTGCGGTCCAGCGCTACCCAGTGGGCCAAAAGAGTTGATCTAATATTGATCTTAAAAACAAGATACATTTTTAAGTCAAAAGGATGCAGAAAAGCTGGGAATGCATCCATTTTAAGCATTGCCACAGACAGAGAAATATGGAATTCAGGATATATTAGTATAGTCTGAACCATGAATCCCTCGTTTAACCCCAAGCAATTTATGCTGTTATCATGCACAAAGCGTCATAGCCAATGACAGAAAGCTAATACCACGAAGACCCCACTTGAAGTGGTTCAACAATCGGAGGATGAATCTAAAAACTAATCTGCAAGTGTCCATCGTAATAATTAGAAAGAAACACGGTTTGACAGTCAACGCACAAGGATTCTGTGGCGACCACTCTCTCTGCCAAGCCATATAAAGTGCTGCCTGATGTCAAGACGACAAGGTGGCTGAGATGGGGGGTTGGAACCTTTTCCTTTCTTTCTTCAACAGCAGTCAGCGCTCCAGCAGCATCAGAGGAGACCTCCTGCAGGGGGTATGGGGGAGAGAGGGAGGGAGGAAGGAAGGAAGGAAAGCAAGGAAGACAGGCATCAGAGTTATTGAAACATGATGAACACAACCTAAGGTATTCAGGAAATGGAAACTGGCACGTCTCGTTTCTATCTAGCTGAAGCACAGGGTCCTCTGGGGACTAAACCACACTATTGCTGAAATTTAAGAATCCAGGAGGCAGATAATCTGACCACAAGAACCCACACACTTCAATGGGCTTCTAAAGGCCGGGAAGCCTGAGATTTGAGAAGCATAATTAATAAGACAGCTCTTTGTCCTCAAGGGTAGCAAAATTAACGTGTTCATTCAGGAACTTTATACTACTCACCTTCAACCCTGCAGCTGTTTTGTGGATAATCGAGGAATCCATTTACTAAGCTATGATTTTGTTAAATCTCGCAAACACTGCATATATACACAAAAATGTGGGGGTTTTGGGGGGTGTTTTTTAAAGCAATGGCCTTCTGGCTTTATTCAGCAGGGAAGTCTGTTTCTGATGAAGCCTCGCCTTCATGTTATTCAAATGACTACCTAGAAGAGAAACCTGACTGGAATGCATTCATCCCTCACAGCGGAAGAGATTCATCATGTACGAGAATTCTCTGTGGGTTTCTCCTTGCTCCAAGCAAATAAAATGCACAAAGTTTTAGGAAAGAATCAATTACTATAAGTAAGTGATATGAAACCACCAAGATTAGAGGGAAGAGAAACATAGGCAACAAATAAATAATGCTCTCTCGCAGTATTTGGAACAGGGATATATAACCCAAAAATTAATCTGAATGATTTACAGCATAGTAAGTTTTGATAAAGTCATTTTCTGTCCACATCCACAATAAAATGGAAACCTAGATCATATTTAAAGCTCCAAGAGGGACTATTTTCTAGATACACTACTGGATAGCAGGTGTCAAGCAGATACATATTTCAACCACTATTTTGATTATACAGAATGACTGAGGCTGGGATTCAAATGGCTGTTTAAAGTTACAATTGCCTGCACTAGCTCAATGGGTTTCTTTTTTAAAACAAACAAACAAATAAACAAACAAACAACAACAACGTTTTCTTTGGACAGCTCATTCTTTGGACTATACTTCAAACTCCCATTGAATTTCTACAGTGAAATACATCGATGAATGGAGGATATAGCCGCTCAGTGCTTTTTTTCTAAAATAATGTTTATGGGTACTCTCACTTTGACTCAAGAAAACCACCATTTTATAGTTCAAATTGGGAAAAATAAATACAGTAAATGGACAAAAGTACAAAGATTCACAAAATGTTTAGGTGTATGCGTACCTGTGTCCGTCCCCCCCAGAAAAAAGCATTGTAGCCGCTACTTATTTGTGTGGTCACCTGTGAGTTATTTCACTTTGTCATGTGTGAGAATGTGATCAGAGTTTCACCAAGTGGCCAATCTACTAACCACATTTCAAAAACAGGGATAAAGTGCCAGCGACATTTGGGAACCCTACAGGGAGAGGCAGAGTGATTGTAAAAATGGAAGAGGTGAGATCTTATTCCCAATGCTGCCTATGGATGGCATAGTTCTAACAGCTGAATATTAGTGCCACTTAGCAAGCGATGGCATATGCTAGTGCAAAACTTAAGACACCAAGTACTAAAACACAGGGATACGCTCTAGCATCAATGAAGTGAAATCTTGCAAACCAAGCAAAACTCTGCAGATTTGCAACAACAATAAATGGACCTGAAGATCTAAATGTTTTTAACATCCAGACTTTTCTTCGGTCATAAAATATGTGCACCTTCTCTTAACAACTGCACTTTGTCAAAGTATTTATATTACAGCAAGCACCTCATCAAATGCATTGCTGTGTTGTCTCCCCTGAACATTAAAAAGATGGAAAGCTGTGCCCTATAAAAACAACATTAAAGAATAAGACATCAAGAGTTTGCAAGGAGAATAACAAACAAACAAGGTGTTTGGGTCAAAGGGGTTGTTACTGTGGAGAAGGGACCAAGCAGTTTGAGCTCAAAGACAACTCTGTCTATTCCACATCAGTAAACTTTTAAGCCAGAAACCTATTTATATATTAAAAGTGAAATGTGGTTCATGAGTGAAACACCTTTTGAGTGAGCAACAAATCACAGCACAATAATTTTTTGACTGCTAATGCATAACAAAAGCATTTAAAAAGAAAAATTGAAAATCCATTATGAAACAAAGAAACAGAAGATTGAAATTCTTTAAAAAAACCAATTTCTTTGATATGATTCTCCATGACCAGAATTACAATTTTGACCTTCAATCTATTGGCTGCTTCAAATTACACTGAGGAAGAAGTGTGTGATGACTGGAATAATGTATTAAAACGAAAATTTAAAGTGGGCCATTTTTACCTGTGGCAAATTCAGATGCTGCAAGTGGGACTGTTCCAAATGGCAGTGTGGGCTACTTTCTTACCCCCCACCCCTCACAACAGAGACTGTAGCATGTGCTTGGATTGTGGAAAAGAATTGGCATGTTAGCCTTTCCTACCAACTTCACCCAACTCCTCTCAATTTGCATTGCAGGGCCATCTCGAGTGTCCCACTGTCATATACAAACTTCTTTTGTTAATATTTGATTTTACTAAGGTATCTTCCATTAGAAACCCAAAAGGATTCTTGAGACACCTCCAATTTTCCCTGTTTGACCCACCTATCTCAGGAACCTAGGAAGCTGCCTTACAGCTGTATATTTAGTTGATATACTGATTGGAAGCGGCTCTCCAGAATTTCATTAAGGGTTGCTTCCTAGTCCTATCTGGAATTGACCCTAGGACCTTCTGCATAAAAAAGATGTTCTACCACTAAGTCTATGGTCCTTTTCCTAAACTCTGAAACTTTATATCAGAATGAGTAGCTCAATCTTGCTGTTGTCGGCATCTGTCTGTCTCGAGAGACAATGGAGGGCACCTCCAGAGGTGAAGTCTAACAGATGTTAGCAGCACCAAAGTGACCTTCCGAGGGCGCAAGCGTGGGCAGTGTGCATGGAGGTCCTCTTGGCCTCACTGATGTGGTCCAAAGGAAGCAGAGCAATATGTTTGGCACCAGCTGGGCTGCAGGAGTTACCAGAAGGAGGTGTACAAGGCACCATCCATCCGGGTTTGAGAAGGGTTTACGCCTGAGTCTTTTCTTCTCCCGAAGATATCCCACAACCATTTTGTCTCTGGGAATTGGCCACAATTCAGCGGAGAATTGTCAGCTACTAAGATGACTTCAAGGTCTGCCTAGCTTCTTTGAGATGCCTTTGTCTTCTTGCCTGTGTTGTCCATGGGAAAGGACTTGCTAGAGCACAACAGGCAATGTTCAATGATTTCCCAGGAAGGTTCTCTTGGGCTGCATTGATAGGAAAGCCAAGAATCTCCCTCCCCCTCTCTGCAGGGCCTTTCCTTGCATCAGGGGCTGCTCTGAATGAGGCTCTGCTACCCAGAGAAATGCCAACTTTGCTGCTCCTGTCCTAATTCACTGTTGGTGGGCAGAATGCAGGCACTACATCAGTTGAAGAGGCCCCATGCAGCGCAGAATGCCATTCATGCCACCCATGGCAGCAGGGGAGTCTATGAATAAAGAAGAGGTTGCATAGCATTCATGAAGACAGGGCTTTCAGTCTAACTATACAGGGACTGTGATAGAAAACAAACTTTCCAAAGGTCTGCTTTGCTTGGGGTACAGCAGTTTTGCAATTTTAAAGCCATAGATGAGTCAAGAAGACAGTGGCAAATAAACTACATTAAATCAGAGCACCCAACTGTTCGTGGATATTTTCACCAGCATTGAAAAGCCCCCCCCCCCCCCGCTCTCAGTATTTTTTATGGCTGCATTGAAATGAGGCAAAAGTGTCCATCTATTGGGATTGAGGTTAATGGCTTTGTCTGTCTTCAGTGACATCAGCACGTAGCCGGATCTCATTGGCTATGTAGTGTCATGAAATCGTCCTATTTATGATGAGTTGAGATTAGGATTGCCCATGTGACTAACAGAAGGTGATGGCAATATGGTGTGTGGATGGGAGGAGTTGCCAGAATAGCAGCAGAGCAATGGGAGTGAAAAATATGGGGTGGGTGGGGGTAGAGGAGATTAACATCCACAGAATTTAGGATTCTTTCAAGAAGTATATTGGTCCTCTGAAAGCAAGCTTTTGACCCCCCCCCCAAACTGAAAGAGGAGAACATTCAGTACAGTCCAAACAAAGTGCTCCAAAGTGACAAATTGATTTGATATAGAGTAAAAAAAGAACAAAGGCAGGCTTCTAGCATCCAGAGACATAAAATTCCTGAACAAACATAACCCATTGACCCAATATGTCGAGGACATATACTGACTGCCTGACCCTTAATGACATTTTTCTTCTTTAGGGTATCGTACCATGCTTCTACAATACACTGAGAAAGGTTTTTACTTTTGAGATAGCAAAAAGCAAGTAGGCGTTGCAAAAAGCCTTTCATTATACAGCTAGCATTTGTGCCTTTAAAAAACACACACAAAAAATGAGGTGGGGGAGATTTTCTGTCTCAAGTGTTTCCCACTTTCAAAAGAGTGACATTTCCTTCTTTCATTTTCTCCTTCATTGAGCAGGAAAACAAGAAGGACCTTTGAGCAACTGTCAGGTTTACAGGTGCCATTCAGGTTGAAAAAGCATCAAGTCTCAGCAGCTTTTGTACTGTATCACTCCTTGTAATGAGAAAGGAAGTAGACAGATCATTGACTGGTACGTTACAAAGGCTTTTGGAGTATGCAATTTTCACCACTGGCCACAGGAACAAACTTGATGAAGAGCTCCTTTTCACATTTAGCGGTATTTGTACTACACACACACACACACACACACACACACACACACACACACACACCATCTAGGAATATGATGCCATCTTTCTTTAACATACATTGTGAAACAAGTGGTAAAATCCAAGAAGTCTGGAACTAACCATTCACAAACAATAAAACCTAACAGTGGAGGCC